AAAATATGAATTAATATATATGCTTAAAATCAGTAATCAGCTGAATTAGGATGAAAGAAGTAGGTTTGGATGAAAAATTAAAAGAAAAAGATCAACAATGAACAAGTAGAAGATAATAATCTTTTTCAGAGAAGACTAAAAAATTAGTTTTACGTTATTATTCTTTTAAAACTCATAGTTTTAAGGCATACTTAGTTGTGACTGTCGTATTGTAGTTCTTGTTAGTAGATGGCAATTAGTTTGCTTTATAATTGTAGAGTATTTAACAGCAGATAGAAACAAATCTAGGAATGGCTTTGATTTCGCGTCTATTTAACAAGCACAAATATAAATAATGCAAAATAATTATTTATGCATGAAATCTTTGTTACTGATTGTGAGAGAATAGATAAATGTCGATGACAAAATAATTAGGTTCATTGAATTGCATTCTAAGTTTGTATAGAATATATTACTACTATATATTTTTTTCAATTATACTTTATTTCACATCTCATGGGCAAAGCTTTTCTTAGACATTTTCAAGAATTTTTCTTTTATATATGTGTTTTTTACTTTTCGTAGAGTAAGTTATTGTAATCGTCTAAATACGAAATTGAAATTTTTTATATATCTTCACGTTTTGAAGGTTTCTGATCATTTTGGCATACTTTAGAAAAAATGGACGCGTGCGTGTGTGTTTTGTGTGTCCGCAATTTTTCGTCCACGTTTTTTGGGCGCACGGATTAACCGATTTGAATGGTTCAAAAAGCATTTGATTCCTATTGATAGGGAGATGTGCTGATCAGTTTTTGCCAAAGGCAAGTCCAAAAGATACGAAGCTAAATATGCAAAGAATGGTTTACTAAACTAAATGGAAACTGAGTATCCGATTTGAATGATTTAAAAAACGTTACTTGTGCTGACAAAACACTTGTTTTAGAGGTTTTTTTAATTGATTTTTTTTTTTTTGTCGAAAATAATTCGGATTTTATTTTAATTCTGGCTTAAGTTTTAAAGCTTTTTTATATACTTTAAATAAATCTTTTTAACTTTGCAATTCAACTTTGTAATAAATATTGTAATTAAAAAAAAAATTTGCAATTCAGTTTATAAATGATACTTAGACAATGTTACAGTATTTATAATAGTATATTGGAAAACATTCCTCGAATATTTTGTTATGGTACGGGAAGTTCCAGCAATTTGCCTTAAGGCACGATGCCATACACCACTAGTTTTATTTTAATTTTGCTTATGGAAGTCTGCATGCGTTTCTAATCGCTAAAATAAAATAGAGTTAAAGTTAGAAAATCATTGACTGATATTTCAATAAAAATTTAATTTAATTTTGTCAAATATTTGGTAAAATTTTTGTATATTGATTAAGCTCGAATCGAATCACAAACTCCAACAATATGCTGTTCGGCATGCGTGTCCTGAAGCTTCTATTCAATTCGCGAGTTAATCGTGCGATATATAAATAGCGTTTTTGCTTAATGATTCAATTTATTGCTTCTATTTTCATTCTTATTATTGTCGAAAATATCATCTATATTTATCTATATGTTTATTGGCTCAATAATCAGCTAATTAAGTAACAAATAAAATCATAGCATAAAACTGGGAACAAAAGAGGGTGATTAAATATGATATAAAATACAGACTTTAGCTTTGATTGTTGAAAAGTTTATAAATATAATGAAATTTTTTTTTGTTCTTTTTATAATTTCAAGGTTAAAAATCTTGAATATTTTATATAATACTGCTTGATATCAAGCAGCATATATTGTATATTTTTCACTTACATTAACATTTTCACTACGTCGTTTTACATGTTGACTATGAAGACTATGAAGGCTCTCCCTGTATAACTAAAAAATTCGACAGACAAATGTTTCATTTGTTTTGGTTAACTGTTTAGCATTTTCAAAAACATTATAGCAAATTTAATGTTATTAAATAAATGATCGGTCTAAATCAATTTAATTTATATTATTTTATTATATTAATTTAAACAATTAAAGTTTTATTAAATATGTGTCCGATTCTCCGGGTAGCAACACATTTTATGATCTAGCAGTGAATCACAATTTTTAACAGAGTTCGGTGGTTTCTCTTGGGATTTAGAGGTCTCATCAGAGCAGAATCGATCAGACTTATATATTAGCATTTTTTCCAATGATTTGAAACAGC